ATGTGTAAACACATTGGGTTAATCCACAAGGCAGCAACACGAGTGAGGAGTTTTAAGTGCAGAGGAGCCGCCTTTAATTGTTTGCATAGTAAGATTGTGTATCTGCCTACTAGTGATTAATGCCAAGATTAGAGTGGCGTTGCTACTGCAGAGAGAGAGAGAGAGAGAGCAGAAGAGGAACAGCAGCCAAACATGACTTCATCTTCATTTCCTTAAAGCTTTTCATTCAGGAAAGTAGCCAAACAGAACAGGGGATTTATATTTGCCATTTTTAATATATTGTAATCTGTGGATTGATTTATGTGTAGTTATTTAATCACAGGATTTTGTCACTGACAAAAAGTTCAGTGTCCAGATGACTGTAAAGAGCATTGGCTACTTTAGGAGTTAAGTCTTTCAGTATGAAGAGCTTTGAATTTAAACTTGATCTCTGAATTGGGCCATTGGATTCAGGAGCTGTGTTTCAGTTGCCTAAAAGAGGAACTCACCAGTATTAGTCTTTTTACAGGTCTTGGGGAGTGCTGCTGCATATGTGACAAAGCTGTATAAAGTTTTTGTGGCCACAGAGGCAGCTGTGCAAAGTCTAATACATTGCCTCGGGTGATGTCACTTGAGTCCATGTGGGCTGGGTCTGAAGAGAAAGTATAAAAATGAAAAAACTCTTGGTTTGTGTATTTAGAAAATATTTCCACCACATGGCAGACAAGGGCTTAATCATCTCTGGCTGAAAATACGGCACCACCGCCTAGTCTGGCTTGACATTTTTTATCCAGTGACCACTCGTAGCCTTGCAATGATTTTGTCACACAGGACGGCCTGAAAAGCATTTTGCCTGTAGACTACAGTGATAAGAGAAAACTGTTAACAGCATGCCTCAAACAAAGTCACTTGTCACTTTTTGTGTTGTGAGATTTTTACACATGTATGTAAAACCTTCCTGAACCTTTAGAAGTGAGATTTGTTCTCGTGACATTTTCCCAATGCGAAATCTATGGGCCGAGTGGGAGCGTATGGGTGGGGGGCTGCAGGCCAGTTCCTCTAATACAGAGGTAATGGTGGCACTCGAAGACATTACACTATTGTTGTACCAGGCCGGAGAACATGGTGACAAAGCCTCCCACTGTTGTTGTGGTGATTCAGAAGTGATGCTGACTTTGCTTTCTGATACCTGAAAGATCATCTTGCATCAGCTACAGTGTTTGTAAATGCTTTCCTTAGGTTTTACACAGGTGAGCTCATCAGATGCTTTCATGGATATTGCTTGGTTTGTGTGATGGACTTCTTTTCCACATCTGTTTTGTTAAATGTAGGTTGTCTCTCACGTGTGAGAGGGTTTGGTCTTTGTGGAAACAAGCCAACAGGTGCAGTTGTATGTTAAGATCCTTATTTCCTGTTGCTCAAGTGCTTCAATTGGTTAAATGTTGGTTAAATAAACACATAAAGTGACAGACCTTGAGTTGAACATGGTTATTATCCCGAATGAAGGCAATTAAGCTTCAACTTTGGGTTGGAGTTTCAAGTGACTGATTTGCTCATCCTACCTTCAAACACCTCTGGACTCCAGTTGACCCTGCAAACAAAAGCATACAGTATGTGAAATATGACGACTACTTCACCTAATGTTGGGTTAGTGCTTATCTGCTCCCTTTCATTCCTGGTGTTGTTTACCTTCTTGAGCCAGATATGACTGAAATGCACGATGAGCCATAAATTCCCCTGACTACATGCTCACACACTGGAATTTACTATTTAAAACTGTTTGGGGAGGCTTTATCTTCTTTTGTGTCCATGCCAGAATGGAAGCTGAGACTTATTCACTGAAACACAGTAATGGAGACTTTGCTCTTTTACCCTTCACACCTTTACTTTCCCTGAATAAAGTTGAATTTTTGACTATATTTTGGACTACCCTGTCATTTTGAAGCCCTGACACTGGATGACAGTTGCTGTATGAAGTGAATCTGTGAGTGCAGCATCACTATTAGAACCCTTTTCCTGTGTGCTTCTGTTTAATCATCTTTTTTCCAACATTTTTCATCAATAATGAAAGCTTGGTGCTGTAAACTGTGCATCTTGTCTTTCTGAGATGATATCTGAGTTCACTAGGCACGACATAATACATTTCCTCATTTTTTAGCTCTTTGTGACATTTATACAGACCCACCAAGGTTTGGATTAACCATTGTAAAAAGAAAAGTTAGTCGATCAGAATGGAAAAAATTATGTACTGTAAACGTATGTGAAGAAAATTGTATAAACATATGCATTGTAGAAACAATGAATGCAAATAAGTTAGCTACAGCTATTGAATGAAGCTCATAACTCTCGAACTCAGTTGAATTGTTTTATTTTAGTTTGTTTTGCTTGTATGACCTTAGACATTTGCTGTGTTCTGTGTTTTAAAAGTTCTCATCAAACCCTGTAGGCAGTTATGTCCCGTTTTAAACTCTGCTGCCCAGCACCAAATGACAGACTGACAAAGCTGGTGAAGAAAGATAAACGCCCAGCAGTGAAAAACCAAGATGTTTTCTCATGAGTTGCAAAACGCAGCACTGCAAAGAAGGTTTAATGCTGAAATTAGTCATTACGTTACCAGAAACTTCACTTTGCATCTGCTGGATGTGTAAGTAAACTATTCTGTTTTGCTAAGACATTAGCTGTAGCAACTTCATCAGCCATATTTGGTGGCTGTGTAAAACACATCATACGCCCTCAGTAAATAAACTCTTACTCTGGACTTTATTACAGCTTCAGTTGAAAACAGAAATTTAAATCAGTTAGTGTTTGGATGTACTTTCAAATTGCTCATCAAAAAAACCTGCATAGAAACGCCAAAAATGCAAACTAATCTTGAAAGTTAGTTGCATTTTGCTTAATGTATACACCAAAGTGTAGTTTAAACTGACTTGAATAAATCATTATGTACAGTGCATGAACCATGTGACTTAAGTTTCTACTGAACAGACTAAAAATGGTGGAGCAATGCCGTGAATGTAACCTTCCTCTACACAAGAAATAAACAGCCTCTTTTCCATCATGGAGAATTAGTAACACCAGCCAAACCAGTTCCTAATATTAGCTAATGGCAGAGCTTGTTGGTCTGGTGAGCACTGGAGCTCCTGTTCCCTGGCATCAGAAACACCCTGTGTGAGTCAACCCAGGTCAACAGTTTCACCTCTCGGCATCTTCTCTATTGCTACCTGACCACACTTGCACACAGAGACACGCACACAGTTGCACACTAAATGCCATCCACCAAGAGCCCCCACCAATGCTGCATAGGATTAGTGTGTATTACAAGATTTCCCCCAACTGGGCAGGGTCAAGCAAGAATTACTGAGTCCCAAAAGTGTTGTTTTCCTCAGGCTGAGGTGGAAAGAACAGATGAAAGAGAATGATTGAGCACCATGTGCAGTATCTCTCAGATGAGTGTACAGTTACCTTGCTGTGTGCATGTCTGAGGTGAAACAAGGGTAAAATGTATAATATTGGCTGGCATGAATGCTAACCCAGTGGGCTGCATTCCCTGGTTGAGTAATGTGTAAAGGTAGC